TTTTTTTTTTTTTTTTTTTTTTTGCATTCAGTCACAAAACACAGTTCAACTACAGCGCATGAGTGAAGCGTACGCGCATGCGTAGAATGAACCCTAGAGAGCATGGTTTAAAGCAACGGCCACCTTAGTGGAAAATTCCTCGCTTGATGAAAGCGAAAGAAATTCGATGGCTATTGCACTCAATGTACATACAAAGTCACACACCGTTCGCAGTAGACCCACACTAAAACGTGTGGAGTGTTTTGGGAATCGGTCGGTCTGTGAACTTTACGAGAGATCAATTTACGAGCGATCCTTTACAAGTGAACCTTCTATCGAGAAATATCAAGCGAAACCAGCTATATCAAATGAGCTACATGTATCTCATATTATGTTTACATATCAACACAACCGTGTATTTAGACATGATCGAGAACCCAGTAGAATACCAAAAGCTACTCTGAAAAGTCCCAGAAGAAAGGGCAGGAGACTGAAGGAATTTGTTTATGAGTGTATCCGTCTAAGCATACCGAAGTCCTCTTTGCTATGTCATTATGTGAAGGTTAGAAGAGTTACAAAGAATGTTTGTAAGCTTCATATGAAGAGGGTAAGATTAAATAAAGTTGCACAACATGAGAAGAAGTATTTGTTGAAACCATAACAACATTCATTACACTCAGCAAACAAAAATAAACACAAGTACAATTATTCATGACTAGCAATAACGAAATTGGGTGACAACAGTGACAATTGCAATATGGCAGTCCCTTAAAGATAACTCCAGATGTGCGATATTGAGAGCCCGAATTCACGCAGCCATGCGTCTTGTCAACTTTGATTATCAAAATGTAAATTCTCTTTGCTCGCACCATCATTACGTCAACAGCTCGTACTGGTTCTGTGTTTCTATCGAGTTATAGAAACACGACTTTTAACCAATCAGTGCACATATTTTCTGAGGACTGTTTTCTAATACAAGGTAGCTGATATGCGTGTGACTGTGTGTGTTTTCATGCACACTCATCTGTAAACATTAAGAGCAGATCATGTGATAGAAAGGCTTGAAAACCTTTGCAATGTAGATGCTCTGTTTTCCTTCCAGGTATAGTTTAATTGCTGTTATGAAGGACCGCATTTATTTAGTGAACTCTTGGCCATTCTTAGTAAGGTATGGTAATTGTGTCTTAGCTCTAAAACAATGTTTGACATTGCTCGGTAGACTGTAGCTTAGAGGTACTCAGTTACATATGCACATAAATAGTTTGTTCTCTTGTCCTGTTACCTGTCACCTTTTTTCTTCACATGACATACACTGCACTGACATGTATCCCTTCTCCCAGCGTATTAGTGTCAGCCCCTGGCTTTCACTTCATCGGGCCACATCAGGTGGCAAATAAGTTGAGTCTACCATGGATTGAAGATTTCCGGTGGTGGCGTTTTTTATAGCAGACTGTTTTGCAATGTAATGTTTCCACCCATTTCCATGCAAAACTCCTAACTACATGTAGGAACAGTACTGTAATTTGTCGTATCTATTTTATTAATACATGTATATGTACAGGTAATTAGTCATACAAATTTGAATTTTACTGTAGGATTAAAGCACTGTTGATCAGTAAATGTAAATAGTGCTCTAGAAGGTATTAATTAAAGTTATCGTTATTATTATGATGATGATGATGATGACTATGATTGTGGTGGTGATTTTTAGCATTTGATTGGCAGACTAAACAGCCTGCTCAGTCTAGTTGTGGCATGTAATGTACTAAAATGATTGAAGTACTGCTGAAAAATGTTCACTATGTAATCAAGATGGCTACTGACATCAGATTATTTATGAAAGGCTTTTTTTAGAACAGCAACTGTATCACAAACAGGAGCCTCTAACTTACAGTCATTGTATTATCTTGAATTTACTCAGTTTGTTTATTGTTGTTTGCAGCCATTTCAGGGAATTAATAGATGAACTGCAGGCCAAGGTTAGTTTCGATAAAATTACATTTACAAATTGGTGCAAAAGCATTGTTTAAGCCCTTGTTATGTGTAAGAGCAACATTTGATTAATTCCATTCATTTACTAAGTGACACTGAAATTTTCTCTACTATTGCTTGGGGTATTCAATGCAGACAACACGTAATGTTCAACACTTACGGTTTGCTTACATTGTATCGTTTTATACATATTTTTACTAGCAAAAGTACATCACTTTTGTAAAATGTATCTTATGATCATTGCAGGCAACTGGTGTTTATGATGCTGAGCATGCTGCAAGTATACAGAAAGGACAACACATTCAGCCCAGTGCTAATGGCCTCTTTCTCACTCCTGGTAATTTATTTCATCAGTCCATGGATTTTTTCACCATGATGCTAGCTACACTGTACATAATTATTTTTACAAAATACAATAATGCCTGCTTCAGTTTTGAAAAGGGTAGGAAGTAGGAGGGGGCAAGATAAAATAATTTATGTACAACAGATGCATTTAATATTTTTGATTGCAGTTTCCATGGTAAGTACATGTGTTATAAGGAGCTGCATTTGAACATGTCTGTTCTTTTATGATCCATACCTTGAAACTTTGTAGCACTAAAAAGTGCCTTTTCCTTTCTTCTGCTGCTTATTTATAAATTATTACTTTTATTTCATTGTTTAGATATTTTTCGAAGACAGCGAGGTGGAAATAAAACCTACAGAGGAATTGCTGACCTTCTCAGAGACAAAGTAAGCGCAGCTACACTGTAGACGTTTGACCATACATTACTGTCACATAACATGTGAAGATACACATACTCAGGGCGCTCAGTACATGTACCTGTAGATCTTTAATTAGCTCATATTAACTGAGCAGGAGGTCTGTATGGGAGAATCTTGACCGAGGTCATGAGTACAGACTGAACGCAGTGAGGTCTTTACACACGACGGAGGTCAAGATTCTCCCATACAGACCGACTTACCTCGGTTAATAACAAGATGTTTATTATATGGCAAACAAGAAAAACTTAAATCGTTTAATGAAACTGGTTTGCTGACATTTTGCTTGCAAACGGAGATGAGCTTAACTTAAACCTGCCGAAATTTGCTCGTCCTCATTACTTTTTTTTGTCATCAGGCTTTTCGGCACTTCCGTAAATGATTGAGAAGAAAATAAAGGAAAACGGTGAACATTTTTGTATATTAGTTTGCTACTTTTTCAATGCGAAATGAAACTGGTCTAGATGCCGGTCTAGATGGGAAAATCTAGACCGTGGTCAATATCGATTTCAGCCAATCAAGTTCGTGAATTCAGTAGTTCCCTGTCCTTGTCAGACACAGCCATATAATAATCAGATATATTTACCTTGTATTTTCAAGCACTTGAAGAGCAGTATTGACAGAAGGTAGAAATCCACTTGTTGTCCTCTTGTATTGAAAACCCAGGATACTGTATCAATAAAGAGTAGGACATTCTCAGGATCTGATGCGGTGACAACACAATACAAGCTGAAAATGGATAACATGCATCATGTATGATGTGTAAAAGCTTTGGTTACCATTTTCCCAGGAGAACACTCAAGGCACAGCACCCTTTACTTCTTTTGAGCCTTTGCCTTGTGATGTACTTGTGTACTCCATAACAGAATGAAGCATAGTCAAGCCAATTTTTTAATTTGATAATTTCTTAGTGGTACATGATTATTGATTTACATGTAGGATCTGTTTGCCACTCTCCACCAACGGTTTTCATGGATGCTGAAAGCATGTGGAAACAGAATAACTGAAAAGCTTCTTGAGGGACCACCAAAGGTGAGTAATACTTGTATGTACATCTGCAAACTGTGTCCTTTGCCATATACATGAGCCAGCAAGGCAATATAAGTTTTCTTCACTAACTAGTACTTATTTGTCAGAGTAAAAAGAATTAAAAAAAGAAAATTGTATTGAAATTAATTGTACAAGTTTAACTCATGTTACAACTTGCTCAAATATAGTTAACCCATTGACTCCTGTGCTGCCCGTAACTGGCCGTGACGAGCCCTGGCCTTTGTTCCACTTATGACGTCATCACCTTTGATCAAAATAGGCCATGTTCGATATACAGTATTAATATTCTAACATGGCTCCGAGGCTTTCAGGACAAACGTCTATATTTGGTGTGGTTTTCTTTGTATCCAAGTCTCTTTTGGAAATTGGGAAACAAAAGAAACTTTAAAAAATTTACAATCTTGACCCGAAAGCCTCGGAGCCATGTTAAAATATTGATATATCGAACGTGGCCTATTGGCATCATCTATGCTCAACTTCTGCAAGAGGAAAAGATCTTTCCAATGATACCCAGACCAAAGTGATCGGTTCAGTGGAGCCTGAAATATGCACAAAAGTGCTCAGAAATTTGAGTGAAAAACTCAGAGCAAAACTTCTTGCGATGACACGTGGCTACTCGATGGTAAAAATTGCGTGTCTCGATGCTTTCTCAGAGTTTTTTGAACTGGAAGCAAGCCAAGTAGAAGGTCAATCACTGCAACAAAAGGAGAAAAAGGAAAGGGGAAAAAAATTAAAACACGATGCTAGTGGAAAGAACGGCATGCTGTCATGTTGCAAGTGCCTTTTTGAGTAGATTGGAGTTTAATTGGCCCAAATCCAAGCTGAAAATCTCCAAAATCTCCAAAAAATGCGTTTTTGGCAAAAAGTTCTGGGAGTCAATGGGTTAAAGGGCATTTCCCAGTGAAGTACATAGGACTAGTAGAGTAATTCTTGTACAGATCTATCCACATCAGCAACAACAATAGTTTTATTTACATGACCATAATGATAACAGAAATCCAAAAGCTTATTTTAACAATAATAAAGTCAGATAACGATCTGAGGGAGAGAGAAACAGAAAACTGTTGCGAGATTGTCTGTAAATGCTGAAGCATTTGTGTTTCAGGAGGAACTCCTGACAGATCTAGAGGCTCAACTGGAGGAAGATGATGATCAAGGTATGTCAGTAAGTTCTACCATGGTGACAGGTTTTTGACAATGTGTGCAATTTCTTAGCTTCATTCTCAATTGCCAAGAACGTTATGTTAGGTATACGTGAATGATTGGCTTACAATTAGTAAATCCCAAGGACATAAGAGTTCAAATGTTTACTACATTCAGACTTACTTTAGGGCTTTGCAGTCCTTCAGACAGCATGTTTATATATTTGGTGACAGGGATGGCGTCGTGGTGAAAGCTCTGAACCCAGTGTCATATGTGTGTAGAGTTTGTTGCTGGTTCTCGTCTCCTTGCTCTGAGGGTTTTTCTGTGGTTTCTCCGTTTCTCCTCCCCCCTCTCCTTCAAATTTCAAATCGATCTGGTGTGTGTTTCACTAGTAAGCCTTGCAGGCTGGCTAGAAGCTTAACGCAATAAAGAAGTTATTTATCTTTATTTTATTTGTGTTTAATAAACGTTCTAAGCGGAGACTCATACAGATTTTCTTACATTGTTTGCATGTCGATGTGTAAGCATTAAACTTTTAAATAATGCTTTTTTACAGAAGACACTGACACGGAAAAGGAATCTGACACTCCTGAAGGTACACAGAAAAATGTTTTTTATAGTATCAATTCCAGTGCATTTCTTCATTTATTAAAATAATAACCCAGCTAATGTCGATGTGGAAGTCGGTTTACACCGTAATGCAGGTTAAAACATGTTACATTTTAATGCCTTTGCTCTGGCTGGAATTCCAATAGTTTATATATTTCCCTTATACTGTTTTCGCTTCTTCTTCTTCAATCCTGCTATTTTAATGACTTTTTTTAAGAAGAGGACACGCGTGGACCAGTTTTCAGCTCTCTCCGGCACATTCTAAAGGTGAGTTGTATTTGTTTATCACATGTTAACATCATTCTGTACCTGAACGTTTACGTCGACCACCGTTTCAACGTGTTTTTACTGGGAAATTAAACTCAAGGTTTGCTGCGTCCGGATTTTCGCTATGTGAGAGTTATACTCGCGGGGATTCCCAACATCCGAGCTATTCTCCAGAGGTTTGCCATATCCGGGGGATATCCGTTGGTCCAGCATACCCGGGTTATATCCTGAGATTTGCCAATGCCCTATAATGTAACAGTGTAACTAGGATGGTGTGCAGTAGTTCTATTCACGCTTATCATATTGTTTTGCAGGTTTTAGGAAGTCAGCACTTTCACTTGTTAGCGTTTCATGTGATTCAAGGCAACCAAGTCATTGTGCGAGGCGAGAAACGAAAGACTGTTGAATCAGTTCTGAACTGCCTCAAGGTAAGTTGTATTGAAATCAAGCATTTTTGGACTAACAAGCATTTAGTCCATCTGTCCCTCTGCTTGCTCGTTCGCTTGTTTATTCGTTCGTTTGTGTTTCGTGTTAGCCGTTGTTGTTTGTTGTTGGTGTTTTGGTGCTGTTGTTGTTGTTGTTGTTGTTGTTGTTGTTGTTGTTGACTGTTGTTTCCTTTTTGACTGACGGACCGGAACAACCTACTAACTCACTGATTCATTTACTGATTGTTTGTTTGTTTTGTTTGTTTGTTTTTTAATAGGTTCTTATACCAAGTGGATGCTGTTCGTGTATTCCATACAGTACAAAGTACAAGGTATAGTATTCAACACTCAAGTTTTAAGCTGGAGAAGAAAACCTCGTCCCGGTGTAATACACAAGTCATTTATCTACTATAGATCATTGAAAAGTGCTGTCGTGTGTCCCTTCAGTCCCAAGATAAAATGCCCATAGAGAAGTCGTGTAGCATCGTTAACTAAGCTTTTACTTAGTTTTGGTTTTGTTGGGAAGTCTTCTGTAAGTTGTTTGAAAGCGCAGTCATACAGTAAATGTAACTTAGTTAAATGCCAACGTTTGCTTACAAACCTGTGATGTCCTGAATATTCAACAGTTATTCCACGAGCGCGCGTTGGATATGAGTTGGCTATAATCATTGTATATCCAACAAGTGCGAGTAGAATAATCGGTTTATTAAAAACACCCCTAAAATAAAGAAAACACAAATAATTTTTTAAAAAACGCCCCCAGAAAATTACGTGTTCGCTTACTATATTTGTAGAGCATGGTATAATGGCTCATAACCCATGATGGCTAAGCCAATGAAAATTCTTGAATTCGTTATCAGTGATCCAGTTTTTAACATTTTGTTTTAATAGTTTCTGCGACATTAATAATCCGCCTTTTCTTTTCTTCTGTGAATCTCTATTAGGATTCGTGGCAATGTAATTTCCTTGGTCTTGCTCCAGGAGTTGAGATTCCGCCTCATGTGTTGTCATCTGACCTCTTTGTTCTACTTGATATCATTTCCCCTCGAGGACATGTGAGTATTGACAGCGAAATACATATGGTTAACCTTTTGAATGTGATAAGCACCGTGATATTATACAAATCATACACACTGTACCACTTATTCGAGATTCTGGAACCCGAGGGATTTAGACTTTGCCCGCGGCATATTCAACGTTCGGTGTCAAGATTCCACACACGTTTGAATTAGTGTCCAGGCGTTTGAAATAAAATAGGCTTGTGGAAGATAATTGTATCAATTAGACGGGGAGCAAACCTACATTCCATCTATTGAGAGGTATAACAGCTGAATCTCTGTTAAGGTGGCCGAACACAGTTTTCGCGCGCGCTTTTGCTGATGCAATTCAGCGCGCGCACAAGGATTGCAACACACAAACATGCCGTCAATAGAGCGATCATTTTATTTACTGAACACCCGCACTATCTGTGCTATTTTTCTCTATAATTGAACGCAGTGTATTGATGGCTTTAGTCTTTTATTACAAAGATATGTTACACAAGGTAATGATGCAAAGAAGCCAGCAGTTCTCAGCTTTTTCTTTGCTACCGAAAGAACCCAGTTAAATGCAGTGCATGCGTGGTAAGTCAAAAAATTGCGATTGAATGAAAATTGCACTCTCGGAAATACGCCTATTTCACGAAAACCACTCAATAGAATTTCACGAAATTTGGCACGAAAGNGCCATGGCAACGGCACATACGTCAGCTTAGCCATCAAAAAATCAAAGTTTGTGTTGTTAACTTGCTTGCTGCCATTTTCGGCGACCGAGAGATCAAGGGTTTTAGAGAAAAAGGTGAATGAACACAGGTATCAAAAACTGTGTTTAGCCACCTTAAACCCGTGTGAGGAGGGCAGGCCGCAAAAGATATCAAAGTTTGCCCGAGATTTCGTATTGTTATTCTTTGTGACGAATCCTATTTTTTACTGGGTGATATCTGTGTTCCTTCCAGGTCCCTGAAGGCCCTGTTGCCGACCAATCAAGGTTAGTGGCTTAGAACTTTTATTTCTCCTTTTTTCTGCGGGTTCTAAATCCGAAGTAAACAGAAAACGATATAGAAATATCCAACCTTAGTATATATCACACAAGTGAATAGTACTTTTCGGGCGCTCTGATTGGTTAACTCGGAGGCGATTAGCAAGTACTATTCACCTCCAAGCAGCCGGCGCGAGAGATTTTAAAATTTCCGGCCGCTTGTCACATAAAATAACGTTTTGGTCCGCTAATTATTCAGCTTGTGTGGTATATACTAAAACAATTATTCGCCCCAGTGTCGGTGAAAGTGATGGATATTTACCTCCACTTCGGTGAATAATTGTTAATTATATGCCATCCTTTCGATCTAAGTTTGCAATTTTGTTTGCCAACTTTTTGTGAGGTGTTGTGAAACGGTTTGCGGTTTTATGCGTATTTAAAATATGCACCATTCATACTTTTTCTGTTCGCGCCCCTTGGTGGCTCGCTTCTCAGTACAACTGTTTCTAACCTTTTCATCCTGTTTATTAGAGATGACGAACACGATTTCCCAGGGTATGGGTTTGTTGTGTGTGGAAAAGAGAATGCTACAGGTATGATGCAGTTGTTAAAGGTAATGTTTACGTTTTAACAAGGTTTCCCCCAGCCGTTATTTATAAGCAACACCCAGCAATAACTGCTAGGTAGTGCTGATATTCCGGGGTTTAAACTATTCGCTGTACTTGCTGTTATAGCCCTTTGCCATCCTACCAAAGTTATTGCTAGTATCTAACGCTTATTGTGAACTAACTTCGAGTGAACTCGTTCCAGACCCTACCATTCTGCAAAAAGTAGAAGAAGCCCTGGATAACGACAGTCTCTCTGATGCAGTGTTTGATCAACTGCTGATTTGTCTCAAGGAGGAGTGGATGGAGTAAGATTTCGCCCGTTTGTTAGATTGTCGTTTTTTTCTTTTGTGCCCAGAACATTATTTAAAGGCCGTAGATGTTCAGGCTCTGTACTGACATCTTTCCGCGGATCCTAGTAAGGAAAACAAGAACGACTTTTCATACGTTTAGGATAAAGATGTGTAATTGAGTACGGCAGTCTTGTTCCTAGAATCTTCGTGTACTAATCAGCATTTTGATCTGAAGGACCATTCATTGTTTACGATCGACCCCCGTTTCACGAAGTCCCTCTTAATACGGAAACTCGCCATTAAGGGAAGGGTATTTTTTTCGTTGTCTAATTTCCATATACATTCTTCTTACCTTAAGCATCGATGCAGATTCTCTTTGTGGTCTTTGCGGTGTCGCCATCAACTAATCTTTTCTTTTTTTTTTTGTTTTCCCGTTTTCTCTATAGCAAAGTTAAAGTGGTTTTCAAGTTTGCCCGGTCAGGTAACAGTACCAGTGAAGATAAAGAAAAGTAAGTGTATTTCCAGATCAAGACATAGATATATAAAAGGTACAAAACTATATTTCAGTTAGGAAATATAAATGGGTTGTGCCGAAAATATTCTCATATTACATTGAATCTTATTGTAATGCAGGTAGAACCGTTAAAATAAAACTGAAATAAACTTCACTTGTTAAGGATCCTTTTCTTCCATTTTTTTTTTTTTTTTTTTTTTNTTTCAAATGTGCTTTAATACTTGCTATTGATCGTTGCAGACTTCTAAAAATTCTTGGTGCCAAATCAGAGGATGAAATCGTTCTCAAGTTTTGGATGACAGGACTAAACAAACAGTACAGATCACATCTGCTGACTTGCAGTAGTGCTGGCTCAACCTCGTGACCATCACTCACAAACTTCCTCAGTCTGGATGTTTGACAGTCCTCTTTCGGCAAGCTAGTTTCCAGTTTCCGACGGCTTTGAACATTATGGGGCTGTTAGCTCCTCGTCAGTTTGCCATTTATTGTTTCCATGGTGATAAGAGTGATCGGCCACTTTATAACTCTCAGGGATGAATAGGAGAAAACTTTGTTTGAGGGTGCTATTGAGGTTACCTAGTAACAGACAAATGGCGCAGAATTCTAACTGACAAAATAGTTTTTCCCTACGGCAGAAAGAGACAACTAACAAGTGACTCTCCAGGATCATTCTTTATCAGAAACCATCCTTACAGTTCCTTTATTCCCAAGGGGTTCTGGAGAGAAAGTCCGAACTTCTCTGTGAAAGCTGTCCATGTGTTTTGTTTGCACAAGAAAATGACTTATGGACGGAAAAACGGCATCACTAATCCTCCTTAAGTTTGGAACTATAAGAAATGTTAGCTTGTTACAATGATGATGGATGATTTAATTACATTAATCAAATCGGTAGCGGATTAGCAATATCAGATAAAATTATAACATTAAAATGTCTGTTAGCGAGCAAACAAACAGGTTTGTCGTGTTTGTAAGACAAAAGAATATGGCTCAAAGAGTGCTGTCGTTATTATTATTATATTATTTAGATTTAACAGTTTCAATCGTTGAGTGGTTGAGAGGAAAACCTTTAAACCACCGCACCTGCAGATTACTCCAGCAGTGTCGATTGTTTTTTTAAGTCGTCACATTTTGTTCGGTTGCTTGGTTTGTTGTTGTTGTTGTTGTCGCCTTCGTCGCTGATTATGGCAGCACTGGTTTGGCAGATAATTTGTTCCGTTTTCTCACATCCTCGGAGACCCAGGGTCAGTCAGTGGGCTTTTCTAGAAAGAACGTTTCTCTAGTGGCTGACATTCTGGATTTTCCTGAAGGCTTCCCCAATCCGTTTCTGGTACATTCGTTCCAAAGAAAATAGAACGTAAAAAATACCAAGACAACTTCTACAGACATGTTTCGACGTGTTTCTTATCCCATCTTCAGTTTATTTTTTCTGTCTGTTTTTCTATCTGTGAGATGCTGTAAGTCTTGCCGAAACATCTCAAATTTTCCTTCGAACATTGTCAGGAGTTTGCTTTCCTTCAATAGAATTATAACATTATTACCAGCGTCTAGTACTTTGGCAGGATGGGAGGTCGATCACGTGACAGAGTAAACAGGGTTGTTGTTACGAGGTGTAAAGCAAGGTGAAGTCACTTTGAAGCTTCTTTTCAATTTTTTCTTTTGCACTGAACAAGAATACTTAAAAGCTGTTTTGGCATTGATAGTTTTAATGTCATTTACTAATTTATCTAAGTATTTATCTTTTATTTTATTTTGTTTATTTATTTATTTATTTAATTAATTAATTTTAATTTTTTTTCTTTTTTTCTTTTTTACCAATTTTACATCATAGTTTTGCTTAGAATTCCTCCAGGGGAAAATAGATTTAATTTAATAAGTACATGTAATCTTATTTAACTTAAATCAGCCGTCGATGAGTTGAGCTTTCTTCATGTTGCGCCGGTTACTTTTAATCACGGTCAGGAACCACTTCCACGTTCACCTTCAGTATTAACTTCATTTCAGCGCCTAAGTAGGTCTTCTTATGCCCAGTAACGATTTCTCTGGCAAACTCGTCTTCAGTGGTGCATTGAATTGGATCTGTTTTTAAAATTATTGAAATTACCAAACTTGTAGTGTTATTAAAAGACTAGGCTCATAAAATATCACGTTAAACACCGAAAAGTCGTTAACGAGGGACGCCAAAATATCACCCTGCGAGCAGAGTCGCCTCGATCTTTCCCAGGTAACTGTAGATAACTCTTTTCCAACGTATCTACCAAAATCGAAGCGACTCTGCTTGCAGGGTACAAAAATATCTGAGTAACTAAGAGTCTGCGGTAGGTGTTGGGTATCGCTATTGTTATCAGTATCGCTCACTTATGACACATCGAAATTGTAAGATGAATTGGAAGAACACGGTGGAAAGAACTTGAGTTATGGGATCACTGACATGCCAACATCTAGAAAGGCTCCAAAGCTCTAACTCTTTGGAGGGAATTATCTTCCGAATTTGAGATTTACGTGAAAAGATTTTGCAAAACCAAACCAACGGTACATCTATAAAAGGCCGAAATCGCGTGAAACCAGCAAAACCTAAGTGCCTAGCCTCCTATTCAGATGCCAGTTGAGTTCGTCGCGAAATCGTTGTTCTGTATCTGAAAGGATAATGACAGCTTTTAAGAAAGTACTACATTTTGCAAGGTTGCGTATTCTTTGAGTCACGATCACGAGTTTAATGAGGATTTCCGATCAAGTCAGATCACCTGAAAATTTGCCGATGATCCCCGAGACAGATAATAGAGCGAAAATTGGATAATAAGGTGTTGTGACATCGCATTCCAGGGAAGTAAAGGAGAGGTAAATTTCTCAATGCGAAGCACCCGATTTTTTTCTCGAAACTGACCTTTCATGTGGATAAAACATTTAAGACATAGGGTAGGTCCTTGCAGTTACAATGTGCTAGTGCGGAAAAAGTTTTACCCAACGAGGGCTAAGCTCTCGTGAGCGGCCACCTCCCGCAAGCGCTTGCGGGAGGTTCGACTATATGGCGAAGACTAAAAATAGTTTATATTAACAAGCAATCACGTCATCATTCTCGTGTAATTTGAAATAAATAAGCACTTATAAAATAATACAAATTGCACCCTCTACGGGTTTGTGCAAATCTCAGTAGGACCTGGTCAGTAGCGTTTAAAAATTTTCTCGAGCTTATTTATTTCAAATTGCACTCGAAATCATGTGATCCCCCAGATACTTGAAACTGGAAGGGTTACTACATTATTTTTATTATATTTTTAGCGGTGTAACACATACTGTTCACGCGAGTATCTGTAGCATGATCGAAGGTCTCAGGCACGCCGTCTTGATTCTCGTCTATCAGCCGGTTGTAAGTGTAGGGTGAGTTGTTGAACCCTAAAACAAAGACCAGCGTTCGGTTACTTACGAAACGCTTGCCCCAATGATGAATGCCATGTAAATGATAGAGCAAGACAAGCTTATCAAACATAAAAGTTCAAAGAGCTGTAGCCCCAATGTGGAATGCAATGTAAATGATAGAGCAAGATAAACTTAGAGCGGTGTTCAATCCGGAGTGTAGTAAAACCAAAACCAAACCAATTTCTTACCAATTAGACTACTCAGCTAATCGGCTCGAACCATAGTAAAACCAGAACCAAAGTAATTGCCTGATCACTTTCGACACTCATTAGAAAACCGCCCTATCTAAAATGGACAAAGCGGTTTTCAAATGAATATCATTGATGAAACTGCTCATTTGAACCCTCGTCTATATCTGTCCATTTGTCTCGTCGGCAAAAGATTGAAATCATCTACTGGCATCGTGTCATTGTCTGATTTTTTAGTGCCCCTTAGTTCAATGATTTTTTTTCCTTTTTTTCAACATGTCGCGCGAAGAGCAAATGTTTGATCGTTTCACCAGTTTGCACGGTAATTTTTGGATAAATAATGTTTAATTTAGTCGGAGCATTATGACATCTGACCCCACTGTCAACAAAATACGTTGAGATTGTTTAAAGTGCCTATGAAGTAAAAAATAATTGCTGCTTATTTGAAAGGCTTTTCAAAGTAAAGAAGAATGGCGTTTCCCTTTTTGGAATATCTTTTTTCTCTGTGGTGTTATCATGCCAACCAAAAAGGATATTACGTTCGGTGAGAGTTTTTATGTTTTTCAAACCACCAATTTTTAAATGCAGACCAGAAATTGGAAATTACAGAACAAAAGTAAAATAAGTGAGGAAATGTTTGCGGTTGCATTTTGCATAAAGCTGACAGATTTCAGAATCGCATAGCTTCATACGGAAAAGGGAATGCCTAGTTGGAAGTATGTTGTGGATGATTTTGTATAGAAAAATTTGAAGCTTTGTTTCGAGCGTGGTAACAAAGNAGATTTCAGAATCGCATAGCTTCATACGGAAAAGGGAATGCCTAGTTGGAAGTATGTTGTGGATGATTTTGTATAGAAAAATTTGAAGCTTTGTTTCGAGCGTGGTAACAAAGGGAAGGTTATAAACTTTCTTTAAGCATTCTTTCGAGAAACCATATCGATGTAATTTTGGTTCAGCAGTTGTTATGAAACATCGAAATGGGAAGTCCAAACATCTCCGTCAACCTCTAATATAGAGAAAATATCGCATTCAACTGTAAAAACAGGGATGTACTATATGGTCTTTGTGCCGGCTCTGTTATCCACTCTATAGAATATAATTCGTCTCCATGAGTTTTTCTTATCACTTATGTTTCTGCAATTAGTGTGCATTTTATCTGGGATAACAAATCCTCATACATCAAAAAAGATTTGATACTAGGAGAGTGTATTGTGATTGTGTGGATTTCAGAAAATTTCCATTTTGCCGAGTTTTAATTATTGAGTGCAACGCGCAAAAACGGCCTCCGATCGTGTTTGAGGACTATAAAATGTTTAAGAAGGTAACCGCGGACGATGATCGTGCTAAAAAAAAAGAGAATTATTATGCATTAGTGTCACTGTCTCAAATCTGATTGCCGGCTTGAAGCACGAAGATCTCGCTGGTACAATTACTTTATTTGGTTTTCGCATGATAGCGAGAATTATCAAGGCCTTGGTTTGTGTTATCCGCCTTCAGTAATCACCTGCTACGTGTTTATTGAACGTTGCCTGTGAATGAGTCAATATCAAGTGTGGGGGGATTCCCCTATCGGCTGGTGAATGGCTGCACAAAGCCGGCGGAGTCACGTTTATATAGCATATCACAAGACTTCAAAAAATAAGATGATTAAATAGTTAAATACATGTTAACTTTTCACTCCTCTTGCCAGTTTTATATGAAATCCACGATAAATAACACGCTAAAGACCGTGCCATGAAAGAAGGCGACTCGGTCTAAAGTAGGTAATGAATTTTAATTTTTTTCTTGATCACTCGGGACGTATAGTTTTAAAATAAAAAAGGAAATTGATAAAAGATTCGTTTCCGCGCCGAGTGCACTAAACGTTCTCTCGCTCGCCTGATGTGATTTTCGTTCGACCTGGGACTGTATTTCAATCTATTGGAACACAATTCTCTTGTGGTCTGATGCTGATCCTCTGATTCTGAACACTGCCTTGTTAATGACAGACTGCCCTTTTAAAACCCTCTGAAATTACTTTCCTTTCATTTGGATATCTTTTTATAGTGCGTTGTTCCAGTGTTTGATTTTATTGAGTAAGTATCGCGAACGCATCCTCAAACACGCTTATTAGTTTGCGCTAAAATTAATATAATTAGTTCTCCAACCTTTTTCGGTTCTTAAATAAACTCCTACCTTTCGTCGACCCCGCATATCATTTTGCATTTACATGCAAATTTTCAAATTAGTAATTTGTTTTGTTTTTGAATGCGATTATCATAACTATCTGAAAACAAACCACTGGTAAAAAGCTGGAGATATGGACAATAGCAATTTCGGAGAGCTTCTCCCACTCTAATTCTATAAGGG